TTTTTTGGTATGAGTAAGTCTTATAAAACACTTAGAGGTTAAGGGAAGGAGAGAAAATGGATGGGTGAGAGAGAGAGAGAGAGTTTATGTGGGAAGGAGATGATGATGAATCCGTGGAGAGACAGTAAGACAAACAATGTGCACACACACACACACACACACACACACACACACACACACACACACACACACACACACACACACACACAACGACATGTAACACGAACATACACATATATTATATACCATAATATACATACATACACATATATATATATATATATATATATATATATATATATATATATATATATATATATATATATATATATATATATATATATATATATACGCGTCCGTGATATGCCATTAGACTTCTGTGCAAAAAGTGCATAAAATATCTACTTAGACGCAGAAAAGGATCCCTGCACTTTCCTTTCGACGCAAATCCGGATAATTCACCTGCATCCGTTACAGCTCCAAAAATCGTTGCATCTGGCTCTACGCGAACTCTTGTTTTTGTGCGACTGTTGATGATATTTCAGAAATTGACCTTCCCGCTCCCCCCCCACCCCACCCCACCCCACCCCCATCCCTGGCACCCTTTGCTCCGAAAAATATAAGTATTTGAGTTCGAATCTGCGGGACGCCTTTGTTCGAAGACCTACAGTATGTAAGTTTTGTCGGATTTTATTTGTAGAGACATATTGTACTGATTTTTTTTATGTTGATTACTAGCATCTGAGAAACCGTTGTGTCTGTTTAACCCTGTTGTTGTTGCTTCTAACTATCATTAGTGGTGTATGAGTACCACTGTATTATTTACTATTCACTATTATTCCTACTACTAGCCACTGTCACTATCAAACAAAACATTCAACAAAATCAATAGAAAAGGCCAGTTTAGTTCAATCACACTACAGTCCGAAAAAAATAGTACAAGTCCACTCGCCGCACAACGTAAAAAAAAAAAAAAGAAAAAAAGTGGGAGCACAGTTGTAGCATTCAGACATGTTATGAAAATTATTAAGGATAATAGTGCTTTCTGTGTCTGTTATCAAGCAGGAGTGAGAAATCAGTTGCTGTATAGAAAAAATAGTCACGTCCATATTTCCAAATGATAAATCAAGAAATGAATAAATTAGCAGATGGATATAAAATTCTAGACAAAAAATAAAGGAAATGAGAAATGGAAGGAGAAGAAAAGAGAGTGGGAGAGACAACGAGGCGCATCGGTAAAGAACAAGGTTGTGAGGTAATAAATGTTCACAGAAACGACGAGGAGAGAAGAGATAAAGAAGAACAGTTTACGAACGAGGAAGAGAAGAAAAAATGTTAGCAGAATCATTTTGTCTGCTTTGCACGTGATGTGATTAGGTGAACTAAATTTTGTGCTTTGGTACTATAGATGTGCACGCACGTTTAATTTTGCATGTAACCAGTTTGCATTGCAGATTACATATAGATATATACATGTGAGATGTTGAATGAGGCAATAAGAACAAACACTAAAACCAGATGACTTTCAACTCATTGGTATTTTGTTCTGGTGCCAAAAATGCTGATTTAGTCTTGGTACGTTTACGTAGCTGATGGATGACGAATCACAATTTCAAGTTTTGTTCTTAAGGAGCTATCGTGACATGTAATATCTACGATGGCCCCCCTTGACTTACTAGATTTTGGAACGTACAAATTCACGTGAAAAGTGCGTGATGTTGCTTCAGAGTACGACATTTTAGCACTAAGGAATCATCAGCATAACAAATAGCGGAGACATACCAAGGACAAAACAAATGAAGGATCTACGTGACAATTAACATGCACGACAGAACGGCAATTAGCAACCAAAGAAAACTTAGCCACCTCACGCTGAGGCCAAGTAATAAAAAAAAAAAGAAAAAAAAAAGGTTATGTAATAGACTCCCTCTGGAGTTTTTTTTTTTTTTTTTTCTTTTTGAGCAAATCTTATTTATCTATTTATTTATGAAAAGTGATGTAATGAATCAGTTCGTGGAAACCACCTCAATTTAAACCCTGCCTCACAGACCAATATATCGCACTGGAAAAACAAAACAGGTTTAAATTAGAAATACAAAACTTGTTTATTTTCTAAAGCCTCAGACAGAGGGCTGCCAATGTGATATCACGATGATGCACGTTCGCCCCAGTATCGCCGTTCATCGCTAGAGGTTGTTTTTTGGCGGTATTTTTGAAAACCAGCGTTTTAGATTCGTGTTAGACGGGAATTTACCAATTAAATTATTTAAATCGTCATTTTTTTCAGCAAAAAACACGGTCGGTCGGTTTACCTTAACCAAATGTCGCTTTTCTTTTTTTGGCCTTATGAATACTCCCGCAGTCATACCTTTCGAACAAATGTAATTGAATTTCGGAAATTTAGCGTGCACGTGGCCCTTGAAATGCGCACATACATGCACCTCTAGCGTTTTTTTTCAGAAAATGTGCACATGAAGTCAAGAAAGTTCACATGGGTAAAAAGTGTAAACTGGAAAGTTAGCGAACTGGAGCCAACAAACTCGAAGGATATAAACAAAGCCGTTGATTTCATACTTGTAGACAAATTGGTGTTGGTGCAGATGTAATAAGATTTATAGATATGATTAAATCGATTAATATAATGTTATAGCAGACTAACCTTTACTATGTTGGCTATGTTCTAGTGTACAGGAGAAACTGTATATAAAGACTACTTATCTAGTAATATTTTGCTTGGCGTTATAAATCTGAAATTAAAGTTATATGTAAAAGGAAATATTTATAAACACACTCACACACCTATATATATATATGTATATGAATAAATAAATATATTACATATATATATATATATATATATATATATATATATATATATATATATATATATATTATATATGAATAATATAATGAAATATATTTATGATAAGATTAGCATTTAATATAATTATCAATTCTTTAAAAATAAATGTGCTAGCCAAGTACATAACATGATAATACATAATGTATTCCATGAAAGGCTATATGTAAATACTTGTGCAGTAACTACTCTTTACTTAGCACCAAATTATCCCCCCAAATCCAAAATCCAAAATAACAAAAGCATAAAATTAATAACCATCACGATTTTCTCCCCCGGGGCCTAAAAGCTAAAGATGAAAAAGCAAGACATAAAAAGTTTGACAAGATTCGCTTCCTCGCTCAGGTCGTGGCTGACGGCGTCCGTGGCGGTGGCGCTGGTGTGGCTGGCGGCCGCAGCTCCGTCCAACAGCACGAAGCAGATAGAGAAACCGGGGTGGCAGCCTCGCCTCCTGGGACAAAAACAACACGTGGTCAGTCGATGGGTTGTGGTTTAGCCTTGATCCTTCTGTGTGATAAACGTGTTAATTTGGACATATTTACTCTTTAACTCTCGTACACAAACGCACACAGATAGATAAATAGAGAGAAAGATTGCAATAAACCTAGGAGCCACACAATCACACACACACACACACACACACACACACACACACACACACACACACACACACGCACAGAGCAAGAGACAGAGACAGAGTACAATGTTTAATCCCATCCACCCAGTGCCACTGACTCGTGACCTCCCTTGACCCCCAGCACGGCGCCTTCATGGAACTCTATTTCTCCGAAGATGACACCCTGGATTACGCCGACCGATGGAACCTGTACATCTCGAGCTTTGATCCTTTCGGCGAAGTGAGTATGACCATTTCAAAAGATCACAGGACTCAGAGCATACTACTTGTCAGTCTGAATGAGTACCTAAATGTGTAGGCCTACATTACTAGATGAAAAATGCTAGGAGCTACCTAAATGTGTAGGCCTACATTACAAGATGAAAAATGAATGTTACATTACAAGATGAAAAATGTATGCCTAAATGTAGGCCTACATTACAAGATGAAAAATGTATACTAAATGTTAGCCTACATTATGAAAAAATATACCTAAATGTATAGGCCTACATTACAAGATGAAAAATGTATACCTAAATGTATAGGCCTACATTACAAGATGAAAAATGTATACCTAAATGTATAGGCCTACATTACAAGATGAAAAATGTATACCTAAATGTATGCCTACATTACAAGATGAAAAATGTATACCTAAATGTATAGCCTACATTACAAGATGAAAAATATACCTAAATGTATAGGCCTACATTACAAGATGAAAAATGTATAGGCCTACATTACAAGATGAAAAATGTATACCTAAATGTATAGGCCTACATTACAAGATGTATACCTAAATGTATAGGCCTACATTACAAGATGAAAAATGTATACCTAAATGTATAGGCCTACATTACAAGATGAAAAATGTACACCTAAATGTACAGGCCTATATTACCAGATGACGAAAAATGTGTAACTTTCTTTCCAGGTGGATGTAGAGTACCGGATGAGGTCCCCGGGTCGCTTCCTGGACGACATCGCTTCGTGGAATATCCAAGTGATGGATGAGACTGCCCTGTGGCCCAACAACCCGGATTATCTCCCCAGTAGGACTGAGCTATTGCCAAATATCTTTATTTTATCACTTAACTGCCACTGTTCACAGGATCTAGTCGTGCGAATAAGGTATCAGTGGAATGGCGTATCAGTTCCTTATAATTCCTTATCCTTTCTTGAATGACAGAGCTTTCCGCATGTCCTTAAGTCTGACAGTTTCTTGGGATCGATCTTTCCGTTGTGCTACTCACCTGATATTTTAAACCCATTTGGCCGAAATGCTACTACTAATAATATCAATCAAAATGGACCTAAAACTTCAACAACAGAACTGACTTCCTCCTGAAGGTTCTGTAGCAGGCGCCGAGGGCATCATCTGGACTTCGGGCTTCCTCATGCCTGGGAAGACCGACGGGCAACTGCAGATGTATGACACTACGAAGGACCCCGCCGACGGACCCTACAACATCGCCAGCAATGATGATGTAGGCCTATAGTACTGTAGCTCTATGATTAATATACAATATAATTATACAGGATAATCCCACATACACATAACTAATGAGAACAAAAAAGTGAAAAAATATCCAGTTTCTTTATATATATATAATATATATATATATATATATATATATATATATATATATATATGTATGTATGTATGTATATACATATAATTTTCATGTATTGCTTTATCTTATATTTATATTTTTATTCATTTATTTATTCACTTTTTTCTATTAATTTACCAACACACAATTAATCCACCACAGGGGAACTGGGCCTACCACAGGGTGATTTGGAAGGACATGGACTTGGACGGAGACTTGGACGCCCTCACAGCCCGGTTCCACAGGCCACTAATAGGTCAGTTTCCTTGCCTCCAACTACCCCTCGGTTGGGTCACTTGGCCTGCCTCCACTTCCCCCCTTGGAGTGTGGTGGCAGCGGCTGGATACAGTGTGTTTAGAGACAGATTTATCATTCATATCAGAAAATATAGGATGATGATGGCAGAAGGCTTAATAATGATGATATTAGTTATGTTGACAGCGGTAATGACGATGATAGTAATAATAATAATAATGTGGATAATGAAGATAGCGTTAGTAACAATAAAAAAACATGATATTCAAGTTATATCAAAGAAAACGATGAAGACAACCATAACCACAATCACAATTAAAAAGAAAGAAAAAAAAAGAAAAAAATAGTAATAACTACCAGCAGGGAAACGATAACACAGCCATCCTCCAACGCCGTCTCCAGGTACCACCAAACACGACCTCCTGTGGTTCGAGAACGAAGGCGCGGGATTCAGCGAGGGATGGAAGGAGCACCTGATAGCCAGCGACGGACCAGACATCCACTTCGACATGGTGACCCTCAGCGCAGGAGGAAGAGACTACAACTGTATCATCGCTGGAGAGTTTTTCAGCGAGAGGGTCTCGATCTATTGGACGGAGAGCGAGGTCGACGACTGGAGTGACCCGACGCTGGTGAGGTTTCCATGGGGTTTCTCGTTTGCTGGTGTTTTTTTTTATTGTGGTCTCTCTAGTGGTGTTTCTTTAGGTGTCGGTTTCTCTTTTTTTGTGATCTCTCTCTCTTAGCGTGGTCTCTCTCTCTCTTTGTGTGGTTCTCTTTGGTCTTTCATTCTCATTCTCTGGATTTCTTATTTCTTTGTGTGTTTGCCCCTGCCTACCTCTATGTGCACCTATCTCTCTGTGTACCATACAGTAAAAAATTATCAAATACGCGTTGAACCCTGTCTTTAACGCTAAAAAAGGCGCGGAAAAATGATTTTCCACAAAATATTTGTTCGGGTATTTTTAGCACATGGCAAAGATCTCCGTTATGCGCAGAAACGAACAGCACGAGACCCCATAAAAATGCACGAGTAACCAAATGAATTGATAGAAAAATCTGCGCGGAAATAAGCCTCAGAAAAGAATGCAAGGACGGAAAAAAGGTAGAAACTGTTGCACGACATGTCCCCCGCATACACACATACCAAACTTTACAGTCTGGTATGTGTGTACTTATCTACCTGTGTGTGTACCTGTCTACCCGTGTGTGTAGGCCTACGAGTATATCAATTCCATTAAAACTCCTTCCTTTTCCTTTACAGGTGAAGTCTCGTATTATAAACTCCAACGTCCAGCCTTTCGACGTCTTGGTGGATGACTTCAACCGCGACGGAGTTCTGGAATTCCTGGTCACGGAATTCAGGAATGATCTTGGAATCGGCCATGTCTCTGTGTACCAATTCCCAGAAGATTTCAGGTAAGGTTGGGGATTGACTCCATTCTGTGACGCCGCTTTCTATTATCACTTCATCTATGCGTCACTTCTTCAATTTCTCACATCACTTTCTGTCACTTTATTTCCTGTCACTACTCTATTTCATCATGTCATTACCTGATTGATTTTATTTCATTACACCATCACCTCAATACACTTCACTTCATCAATTCATTACCTGACAATGATTGATTTTATTTCATCATCTCATTACACTTCACTTCATCAATTCATTACCTGATAATAATTGATTTTATTCCGTCACATCACTCCATCACCTCGCTACACTTCACTCTACCAGTTCACCCCAATTCATTACCTCACAGTCTTCCACTCTGTCTCATTTTAAACCACCTCATTATACTTCCCTACAGCATTTCATCACATCAGTTCATCCTCAATTTAACATCACCTCTTTTCACTTCACTATTTCATCCCTTCACCTCAGAACGGACGACTTCCCTTCCTCTCCAAATTCGTCACCTCAGTCTATTACCTCACAATATTTATTCATATATCATTACACTTCATTCAACCATCATCATCACCTCACCTCAGTACCTCATAGTCTTCCACTCATATCACCTCCCTTCACTTCACTATTTCATCCCTTCACCTCAGAACGGACGACTTCCCTCACTCCAATTCATTACCTCACAATATTTAATCATATATCATTACATCACCTCATTACCCTTCACTCCACCAATACATCACCTCAC